AGTTCTACTGTCTCCTAAAGGAGTTGTACAAACTGGAAGTGGTGATGTGCTTAGAATCTCTACTGTCATAAACTTTTTCTGTATGCAGGGTAAAAAGAAAAGTTAACATTAGGGGCATATCTAGACTACGCTAGACTTTCGAAAGAGGATATACAAATTCCGCGGGAATTTGCATATCTTCTTTCGAGCTCGCTTTCAAAAGCGAAAGTAATTAAGATGTGGTTTTGTCAACGAACCCTCCCGTTTGTTGACTAGCCGCTTTTCTTTTAAAAATGAGGTTTGCACAGCTTGTCGACAAATGGGAGGGTTGGCCGACAAAACTGCATCTTAATTACTTTCATTTTCAAAAGTGCCGCTTTTGAAAGTGAGCTCAAACGAAGATATGTTGCATATCTTTTTTTCAAAAGCCTAGGGTAGTCTAGATACGCCCTTAATGAAGAAAATAATATAAAAAATGGTAAATTATTTTGCATCTGACACTTCGTGCTGTACTTGGGCGAGAGCTGGAGGGTACTATGTGCAGCCCACATTTGAGCGAAGGGTGTCTCCTAGAACAGACAACAGAAATAGTTCAGTGCTCCAGGGCAGGGTGTTTCCCAACCCTCCACTGCAAAACAACACACCTACACTCCTCCACTGGCAACCAAAATGGAGAGGACAGCTCAGTGCATAGCAGGGAGGCCAGGGCGTCCAAATACTCCCCTGTACAAAATAGCATCATGCGCACACACGCATCACTGCCGTCTTCAAACCAGATGCTGAGGAAGAGAAGAGGAAACCTTCCAGATGTTCCTCTGCTGCTCTCCCAGACCAAACTGTCCCCTTCCCAAAAAATTCCTCTCCCCATACTCCCCCACACATGTTCTCCATGCAGGCTCTTTCAGGCAAGGCAAGTAGACAGTGTTGTGTGCCCTGGAGTTGTCCTGAGGGGCCAGAGTCGGGAGAGGAGTGGAAAGATGCAGTTGGGGGAGCAGTGCCCTCATTCCCCCCCGATTCCATACCCTGAATGTGATGTCACAATGTGACAAATGTTGCTCCCATGTGGTGACTGTGTTGCTGGTTTTTGAGAGGACAGTTCACAGCAGGGAAAGTGTTTCCTGGAGAAATGTTGCTTGTAAGGTGTAGCTGCATTATTTTGTCTACTATATTTGGATACTGAGGTTGAGAGAGTCCAGGTGTTGTTTGCAGTTGCAGGACACTTATACTATCCAGAAGCATGAGTGATCTTGGAGAAATACTGGCTATATAATACTTTGCTAAGGTTTTCCATTGTATTAAAAATTCTGACTTATCTAGTACAGGCAGTCCGCGAGTTACGCAGATCCGACTTATGTCGGATCCGCAGTTAGGAACGGGGATTTTCTCGCCCCAGAGGACGGGAGCGGCGGAATGCCTGGTCCCGCCGCCCGCGTCCTCCGGGGCGAGAAAAGCTGCTCTGCGTCTCCCTGGTCTGCTGGGGGGGGGGGGGGGGGGGGGGGGGGGGGGACAGTAGAATCCCCGGGCCGGACTAACTCATGCTTTGTGGAGGGGAAGGGGGAACAGGGGCAGCGTCCCAAGATCTACATATGGCCGGGTCAGTCCCACTCCCTGCAGGCCGATTCATTCCTCCCCCCCTGCTCACCCACTGCCCAAAGCGCAGCGGTCCCGCCACCATGTCCTCCGGGGCGAGAAAAGCTACTCCGGGTCTCCCTGGTGTGCTGGGGGGGACTCCCCAGCACAGCAGGGAGACCCGAGCAAAGCCGCACAGGCGGCGGGACCTCTGCGCCTCCGCAGCTTTGCTCAGGTCTCCCTGGTCTGCTGGGGGGGAAGGGGGCGCAGCTAGTGCGCCCCCTCCCCAGCAGACCAGGCTTTTGTTGTGGACCCTGGGGTAGACCCTTTTGTTGTGGACCCTGCAGGGACCTACCTGGCAGCCCATCTGTTCTGTCCCAGGCTCGAGATTCAGCCACTGTTGAAACTGATCAGTGGCTGATTCCAGGAAGCTGGGGGCAGAGCAATTCTGCCTCCAGCTTCCTGTAGTCCGCCCCTGGTCAGTTTCAGCAGCAGCGACTGAATCTGGAGCCAGTTCCAACTTACATAAAAATTCAACTTAAGAACAAACCTATAGTCCCTATCTTGTACGTAACCCGGGGACTGCCTGTAGTAACTTTGTACAATTGCCTAGTTAATGTATTTTCACTCCATTCAAGAAAAGGAATGTGAGGCGGGATCATAGCTGTGAGCAGTGTAATCTGGGAAAGGGACAGATTCCAGAAAGTAGTCTGGGATTGTGGCTCATACAATCTTATCAGTTCCATTCAGATCTGTAAGCTTAGGAAGAACAGAGTTCATAAATTATTTATGTAGAACATAAACATATAGTTATGACTTATAGCACTGTAGAACTTTACTAAGAAGGGTTAGGAAATATCATTGTCACATACACAGTTAAATTCCTTTAACATAACATAATCTCATCAAAACACAATATAAAATCTTGAATTAGATATACCACCCTCCTATACTTTCAGGATTACAAATAGTGCTGTAAAACAACAACAAATTGTCTGGTAGCACTTTATAGACTAATAAAACATGTAGATGGTATCATGAGCTTTTGTGGGCACAGCCTGCTTCTTCAGATGACCAGAGTGCTGTGCTTGCTTTCATTTCTGTTCTAACTACAAACAGCATGGGGCAGTGCGTGTGGTTTATATAATGCAGGCAGTCCCCGGAATACGTACAAGATAGGGACTGTAGGTTTGTTCTTAAGTTGAATCTGTATGTAAGTCGGAACTGGCGTCAGCCGCCGCTGGAAC